AATTTCCTCTTTTAGTTATGTATTTTTATAGAATGTTGTATGGGTCTATCACTGGAGGATGAGGAGGCCATATAATTATCAGGCTTTACTCTTTGCCTGAACTGAATAATAGATGCCCAGTGACCGGTAACTGACAGATTTTGAAGAAAAGTGGTGATTGTTCACTGATCCGGATGGTATCTACTATTAACATAGTTGTCTATGGACAAAAAAGCAGGCAGAGAAGTTGTGCACAGATCACATACACAGGGGTTACTGAATCTTGGGTATGTCTGAACTCTTGGTGAGGTGATGCTAACCTGTGCCATAACTTGGAAAGTACACAAATATTTGTTGACAGTATTTTCCCCATTTTACAACATTTTAGAAATTAAACAAATTTTATATGTTGTAAAAATAGGTGGTGAAGTGCTTCTTTCAATGCCTGGTTATCCATCTCTTCCTCCAACCCAGATCTGTTTGTTTTTTTAGGGTAGGTTGTGAGGCAAGTGACAGTATTTTCTCTAGGGCTACAGTTTCAGAAACTCAATATGAAATCTGGCTTGAGAACCCAGAATTTAGACTTGGTTGAGCTAGAATGAGAGACTTTTTGAATGCTAAATCGCATTTCTCTCCTTAGATCGATATAGAAATTAATGGCAATGCAGTGGATCTTCACATGAAATTGGGTGACAATGGAGAAGCTTTCTTTGTGGAGGAGACTGAAGAAGAATATGTAAGTTCTCCACAGTCATATCCACTTTACACATTGTGTTCAGTCTCAAAGATAGTCAGTTTTCCTGGTTGGTTGTATAAATGATTGCTGATAGTTAGTGAAGCTTTAGTTTTATGTTGAACTAAGCTGTTAAAAAGGAGCTGGAGGGATGGGAAAATTTACTCCACACCAGCTTTTTTTAAAAAAAAAAAAAATTTATTTTTTAGTTTTAGGTGGACACTGTATCTTTATTTTGTTTTTATGTGGTGCTGAGAATCGAACCCAGTGCCTCACGCTTGCTAGGTGAGCACGCTACCACTTGAGCCACATCTCCAGCCCCTCATACCAGCTTTAAGAGTACAGAAAACATGCAAAAAGTCTTTGTATTTGGTTCTTGTGTAATAAATAGCGTGTCTTTTTCTGACTTTAATGAACTTTGTTAATGTCTATTCTAGTTCATATCTTGACCTGAATTCATTTAGTTCTACCCAAGTAATCAGGCATCTCTCCTCAGGCTTTGTGTGTTTGTATATACATGACCTTTAAACTTGGAAAATATAATTACCATTGTCGGTTAGGAACACTATATCTCTAACCCTGAGTAGTCCTGTGAATTAATTGTATGATATTAAGAGATTTTAATTATTTGGTG